AGGAGAATTACAGGCCAATCTCCTTGATGAACACAGATGCAAAGATCCTTAACAAGATTCTAGCTAACAGAATCCAGAAACACATAAAAAAAATAATACACTATGATCAGGTAGGCTTCATCCCAGAGACACAGGGATGGTTTAACATACGTAAGTCAATAAATGTAATCCAGCATATCAACAGAGCCAAGGTCAAGAATCACATGATTATCGCCACAGATGCAGAAAAGGCCTTTGATAAAATTCAACATTCATTCATGCTAAAAGCTCTGGAGAAAATAGGAATAGAAGGAACATTTCTAAAAACAATAAAAGCCATTTATGACAGACCAATAGCCAATATTATACTTAATGGGGAAAAGCTACAACCAATCCTCCTAAAAACAGGAACAAGGCAAGGATGTCCACTGTCTCCACTCCTCTTCAACATAGTCCTAGAACCCTTAGCCAGGGCAATAAGGCAAGAAAAAGACATTAAAGGGATCCGCATAGGGAAAGAAGAAGTGAAACTATCCCTTTTTGCAGACGACATGATACTATACCTCCACGATCCCAAAAACTCCATCCCCAAACTTTTAGAAATCATAAGTCACTTCGGCACAATAGCAGGATACAAAATAAACCCACAAAAATCAGTTGCCTTCCTATACACTGATAACGCACAGGAAGAGAGGGAAATAAAGGGAGCAACCCCATTCACAATAACCTCCCAAAAAATAAAATATTTAGGAATTAACCTAACCAAAGATGTAAAAGAACTATTTAATGAGAACTATAAAAAGTTAAAGAAAGAAATTGCAGAAGACACTAGGAAATGGAAAGACCTCCCATGCTCCTGGATAGGCCGACTTAATATAGTAAAGATGGTGATACTTCCAAAACTAATATACAAATTCAATGCAATTCCTATTAAAATCCCAATGACGTACATCACTGAAATACAGAAAACAGTCCAAAAATTTATATGGAACAACAAAAGACCTAGAATAGCCAAAACAATTCTAGGGGATAAAGACAATATGGGAGGGCTATCCATGCCGAACTTCAAACTCTACTACAGAGCTATAATCACAAAGACAGCATGGTACTGGCACAAAAACAGACCCGAAGACCAATGGAACAGAATAGAAGATCCAGATATAAATCCACAGGCCTACAGCCAGCTGATATTCGACAAAGGAGCCAAAGACATACAATGGAAGAAACACAGCCTCTTCAACCGCTGGTGCTGGGAAAACTGGGCAGCCACATGCAGAAAACTAAAAGTGGACCCCAGCCTATCACCATGCACCAACATCAACTCAAAATGGATTAAAGACCTTAACATTAAACCTGAATCTCTGAAACTACTGCAGGACAGAGTAGGAGAGACACTTGAACTAATAGGCACAGGAAGGAACTTCCTGAACAGAGTCCCAGGGTCACAACAAGTTGGAGAGAGACTCGACAAATGGGACTCCCTTAAAATAAAAAGCTTCTGCACAGCTAAATCTATCGCAACTAAGCTAGAAAGACAACCAACTAATTGGGAAAAAATATTTACCAGCAATATATCAGACAAGGGGTTAACATCCTGTATATACAGGGAACTCAAGAAACTAATCCCTCCCAAACCTAACAAACCAATTACTAAATGGGCAAGGGAACTAAAGAGGGACTTCTCAAATGAAGAAATAAAAATGGCAAAGAAACACATGAGGAAATGTTCATCATCCCTGGTGGTGAAGGAAATGCAAATAAAGACAACCCTGAGATACCACCTTACCCCAGTCAGAATGTCCCACATCCACAAATCAGCCAACGACAAATGCTGGAGGGGATGTGGAGAAAGAGGAACCCTATTACACTGCTGGTGGGAATGTACACTTATACAACCACTTTGGAAAGCAGTCTGGAGGGTCCTTAGAAAGCTAAAGATTGACCTCCCTTACGACCCAGTCATACCACTTCTAGGCATCTACCCTGAACAACAGGAACCAATATACAAGGACACGTGCACCTCCATGTTTATTGCAGCACTGTTCGCAATAGCTAGGATATGGAAACAACCTAGGTGCCCCACCACAGATGAATGGATCCAAAAATTGTGGTATCTATACACAATGGAATATTATGCAGCCATTAGAAATGACAAAATAATGGCATTTGCAGGGAAATGGATGGAGCTAGAAGGAATCATGTTGAGCGAGGTAAGCCAAGAACAAAGAGACAAACGGTACATGGTCTCCCTCATAAGTGGATGCTAAATCCAAAATGTTAGGTGATACGACAAAACTAACAGGACTTAAGAAACAAAGAACTCCCGCTCATCTGGTTGAACCACTACTAAATATCCCCATGCTGCTGATCACAAATATGGTATATAACATGTGAACACTGTTATATATTACAGACTGTGGTAGACAATTTGCTCCAGGGAAGTTAGAATGAACTTGTGACTTTGAAATTATGTAATCATTTAATCACAATCAAAAAAAAAAAAAAAAAAAAAAAGAACCTCGGGGAAGGGAGGGAGGGAGGGGATGGTAGGGGGAAAACAATGGAGGGGGTAACAATGTTCAAGAGGAAGTGTACTCATAACCTCACTCATGTAACTGTAACCCTCTGTATAGTAGCTTTACAATAAAAAAAAAAAAAAACATGAAATCACAACATTTCTAGAGAAGATGAAGCAAGGCCTACTCACACTAATCTTGATAGTAGCTTGAGAGGCCACCTTCTTCTTTCCTGAGTATATGATTACCATAATATCCCTAGACATAGAAAGAAATCTTACAAAATCCAAGGGTCCTAAAACCCCCCATAAGTGGCATTCTTAAGATAGCACCTTTAATTTTTTATATAACTAACAACAACCAAAATAAAGTTAAAAGACAGACAAAAATCCTGGTAACCATACATGGGTCACCCTTCCCAAGTCAACCTAAGAACAAACACAGACCACTGAATTAGATTAAAAAACAAGACATAGACATTTGTAGACTACAAGAAACGTATATCATTGGAAAAGATAAACCAAGAGAAAACTGTAGAAATAATTTTGAAGCAAGTGGATACTGAAAGCAGGAAAGATCAGCTACATCCATGGGTTAAAAAAGCAAACTTCAAACCAGAATTAATCAGCAGAGATAAAGAAGTTCACTTCATATTGATAAAGGCAAAGATCCAACAAGAGATCAAATGTCAGTGTGTATAATTTCATCAAGGAAATGCCACTAGACAAAACAGAGAAACCCAAAGCAATAATAGTGGATAATGTTAAAATTCCATTTTTACTTAGAAACAAGACATTCAGATTAAACATTAACAAATATACTTCAGAATTAATGACACATTGATCAAATGGGTTTAACTGACATTAACAGAGTTCATCCACTAGAATTCACACTCTTCTCAGTAGCTCTTGGAACTTTCCTCAACTGAATCACATATTAAGAATTAAAGTAACTTCACATACAAGAAAATTGAAATGATTTTCTGTCATTAGACCATTAGAGAATAAAACTAGCTATCAATGAGAAACTTTGAAACTATGACCTTTGTTAGGTGTATCTAATTGATCAGTTCTACTGTATTTATTGTTGGAAATTTAATTCTTTATTGGAAACATCATTTTTGTAGATGTCTAAAATTGTGCATAACATGGTAAAAGTAAAGGCTTATACTAATGCTCAATATGAACTACAACATATAGCAAGAATGCAAATAAGACGAAGTCTGTATAATGAAACTACAGTTATTGACACAATCTGACAAGTTGATAACCAGGAAAAAATTACTATAATGAAAATCTAGTGTACAATTTGGGTTAAATATTATTGGTTTAAGGATTTTGTTTAAGTAATGAGAACGTTCAAATTTATTGGGAATTCTCACTAAGGGCATGCATTCTACAGAAACATTTCAAATATGAAGCGGAACGAGATGAGCTTACTATCCGTTATCTATCAGTCTTGTTCTTCTGACTCTCTATAATTTGTTATGAAGCTACACACTATAGCCTTTGCAATATTCTTTGTTGAAATGGTAGGCTAATTTATCATAAGCATAAAAATTAACTGATATATTTAAGTTTATAGAATAGAGACAGAAAAACAACACAAAGGATCAAATTTTAAGTAACTTTTTCTTTATTTTGACATAAAAGTATACTTTTTATTAGAATTATAGATTTTCAATATTATTCATTTTCAATATTAAATATGTAATTTAAATATATTAAGTATAATGAATCAAACAAAAGTTCTGTAAATTAAACTTTTCATAAAATTACTAATTTATTTTTCTACATATTTGATGTTTATTCTTTCTAAAAATGTGCTTCTTAACATACTGTTTCTCTGGAATTATGATTGATTTCTCTCTTGGAGTTAGTGCCTCAATATTCCATGAGAGGGCACTCAAGTTCTGTTGCAGACAGGATACAAATTAGATCACGATTCAATGTGCACAATGAAACAATGCCTACTGTAACACAAATCACTGACACTTTCATTTTCTAATACTTGTAACATCGCAGAAGCAGAAATGTTTATTTTTATTAACAAAGGAAATCATTAATCTTCTCAAAACTCTTTGGTCTCCTATAGTATTTCTTGATTTGTATGATCTATTCGAGCTTGTAAATTCCCTACATCCATCAAGTTCTGTTTATACTTTGTGTACTCCTAGGAATCAGCATAGCATTAGTCAAAATGTAATCTAGGTTAATTTAAAAAATGTTTTTTTAACAGACTTATTTAGAATTAATAGTGTACCTGTAGTGTATAATAAGGGAAATTGGTTAGGCCCCTTAAAAATGGCAAAAGAAGAAATAGGACACGCTGACTAGTTAAAGGTCACATTAAATTTTAGAGTTTATCTCTCAGCTAAGAGAAAGTAATGCAATAGTTAGAAACAGGATAAAAACTGCATATTGGTAAGTTCGTTGTGGTTGCAGTGAGTAAATTTCCCTACTCAGAACTTGCCAAACCTCAGATCTTCTCTCTCATTTTCTTGTTCTATTCTCTTTTTTTCTTCTTGCCTGTCTTACAAAATTTTCGAAAAGAGAAGAAGCAACATTTTGCAACCAACAATATAGCAGCTGAGGCACAGGCCAGCAGAAACCCAATCACATCCAGGGAGTGGTACTGGAACCAGGTGAGATCGTGGGCTGCAACCCGAAGGTGCTTGGCTCCTTTGTGGCGCATGACAAACTCGATCCAGAAGACAGCTCGATCCAGAGGCTTCACTGGCTGATCATGGTGAATTCTTGATAACCTCATTGCATTCTCTTTATAACTAGAAGGCAAGTGGTCCTAAGTTAATTTTTATTTTTATTGGAGGTAAATACATGAGAGATTGTATGTATGACACAAGCCAATGGCTATAGATATGTTCAGAAAAGAGTTTTAATGTCTTCATAAACTTTGCCATTGATTTTAAGTGGTAAAGAGGGAAGAGGTGTGGTTCAAAAAACAGAATGTTCAAGTGTGAATGTTAGACCAATTTCCTATGAAAGAATTTGAATATTTGATAAACTATGTTACCTAAGAATGCTCCAAAACACAAAGCGTGAATAACTCAGTATTATGGGATAATGTCATATGAAACACCAATATTCGCAGTTACAGATATATAACTAGCTCATATGACAGATACAGGGATCTGTTTTTCACCATCAGTTAGGCATTGAACAGTTCTCAGAACTTTGCACAGGGATACTCATTTGAACACAGTGATACATCTGCCACTGTAGGCAATTTCAGAATTGAATGGAAAGACTAGAATGATTTAAGATTTAGCATATCCAACTATTTATAGGGCTTTGGTTTGTTAAGATAAATACAAAATATTGACCTAGAATTAGATCCTTGTAACGAAGTTGGCACCAAAATAGAATGTGGTGTCGAGTTCAGTTTTAATAATTTTCTATGCCACAGTGTATAGATTTCTTATGTCAGTTTATATTACTAAATCTGTGTGTGTTTTGTATCCTGAGTAAAGGCTCTAGGACATGAGTGAATGTAAATGGTTTGTGACAACATGTCTTGGTACAAACAGGATCTCCATGCACATGAGGATTGGGAAAAGGGAATGAGGTCAATATTGCCTTTGGATCATTTAGTTCAGCTGAAGGAACGATTTCCATCCATTCTTTGAGCATAGTGAAATGAAGCCATTCTATCTTTCACTTGTATTGAGCTATAGGGAAGGTTAGTACAGGGATTTCACACAAACTCTATTAGGCAAATCTATTAATCCTAAATGCCTTTTATTGCTAATCAACTTTTTTCTTCAAGATTTCCTACAGCTATAGAGACTTTAAATTTGAAATCTAGATATAACTGATAAATCTGCTAATTTAAAACTAAAAATAGAGTATGTGTGTTTTTCATGAAGTATGATAAATAAGAGCCATATTTGTATATGTATTATTTCATGTTGGTGTACTACTTGTTTGTAAATGTGCTAAAATAATTATAATTATAATTACTATGATTTACATATTAAAATTAACATTTTTGTGTTTCTTAGTTTTTTTTAGTAAATAACAGTGAACACAACTATATCTATATCTATATTTATATCTATCTATGTACATATATATAGATATATTTAAAAACACACAGATAGTCAAATAATCTGAGTTAGTATTTAGGGTTAGAATTAATGTGAAGTTACAGTAAATTAAATAATTTTACATGAAGATTTTAAATAGATTTTATGTTTCTGTCTTGTGTCAAATGTGTTTGCAATCAGTAATAAAATTCATGAAATTCACCCATAAAATAATACAAGCCAATATAACATTTAATAAGCATACTGTCTTAAGTATATATTTTATACTATATGTATTATATATTATCTAAGCCAATAAAAATAGAAGAAAAAATTCAAAAGAATTATTGAAGCTCCAAAGCCTTCTACTCAGATATACAAATGTGATTTTTATAATATTTTGAAATTATTATCTAGTAAATTCACCAATAACTATTACATAAAAGCACTTACAAGCCTCACCATTAATATTTCTCTTCTAATGGTTAATATTGGGTATGGTATCACTTTCATTTTGTATATGCTCAATGTATGATAACATTTAAGAATGTATTACTTATGAAATAGGAATTTATCCAGGAAAACTATAAACAATTTTATATTATTTTTTATTTCAAAGAATCAGTTGAGAAGTTGGAAAATGAAATCGTTTTTATATTAGTTTTTTAATTGTAGATAAACCAGTTACACAAGTATTGAAACATTGGGAATTTTCTAGTATGATGGACAAGTTAGGGAGTGACAGGTGAGCCCTGGAAAAGCAGCAGGACTTACGAAGGATCATTGATGACTGTCCTCAGGGCCCTGAGCAAGTCTGCACTGGTCATGGTGTTCATGTTCACCTCCACAGCTGCTCCTTTGGCCTTCATGTGAGCGATGTTGTCAGGTTGGTCAGCAAACATGGGGACTCCTACCATTGGGATCCCATGATAAATGGCTTCATAGATCCCATTAGTTCCACCGTGAGTGATGAAGGCTTTGGTTTTGGGGTGTCCTGGTTTGAGGAGATAGAGTGAGAAATGAGAAGTGGGTTCAGATTTCAAGGTCAGAATTTCAAAGACAGATGGAATGAAAGCTACAATGTCCGTCATTGCACAACATGGTTTTCTTCAACAGTTGAATACCTGAGACATTGCTAAACCAGAAAAACAAAATCCAAGAAATAGTAGGGATCCATATCTTTCATTTTCTGAGAAGGTAATATGTATGATGAGACTCTTAACAGAAGATGCTCTTTTGTGACTCAGGGGAACCATAAAACTAATGGCCTAATATATGATTATGCTTGCTTTAAAACTGGAATTCAAATGTGAACTACTTAAATATTTTTCAATTTGTTTTGAAATGGTCACTTAACATGTCTTCTGACCAACTGTAAAACTATTCTTTTCCCCCAGTCTTACCCAAAAGATCATTCTGGGGTATCCAATCAAAGAGCCGAGTATTGGATCCTAAAGATGTTGGTATCTTTCCCTTGTATCTCCATAGAACCTGTTGAAGACAATGTCAAAATTTGGAGAATCAATTCACATTGAAGGAATATTAAGTCCTAGAACATTTAATGAATGCACCTTTATTCTATACCAAATACACTTTGATAATAACTCTCAGAAATATGGCTATACTTTTGAACATGTCTTCTCTTACACTGTATCATTCCTCAGATTTGGAGTATGGACCTGAAATACTTCAGATGGCCTATAATTTTCTTATTTAATTTAGAAAATAGAAATCACTACAAAAGCACACATTCCTATAGTTCTGCTGTAGTTTAGCAAGCAAATGATCAAAAGTGCACAATACACAATTTATGTTACGTTTTTCCTTCTTAAATTCAATGTCACACAGTGACTCATGCCTGTAATCTTAGCTAACTCAGAAGGGTGAGATCTGAGGATCACAGTTCAAAGCCAGGCCAGGCAGGAAACTCCATGAGATTCTTATCTCCAATAAACCATTCAGAAAACCGGATGTGGCACTGTGGCTCAAGTGGTAGAGCTACAGCCTTCAGCTGAAGAGCTGAGGGACAGCGCCCAGGCCCAGAGTTCAAGCCCCACGACCAACAAAAATAAATAAATAAATAAATTCCATGTCACATATATCTAGTGTATAAGGAATGTTGACAGAATACTTGCAAAGACTACCATTAGCTGTAGTCTTATTCCAATCAGTAAAAATTTGCTCTGATTCCAGGTTCAGAAGATCACTGACCTTCTGTGGAATCTGGGCGAGAGCTGAAGCAATGAGATTGGCCTTTTCGTCTGTGAGGTTTTTCACCATTGACCCCAGTGAAAACACCACCACACCATCTTCTCCTGAGCTCTGGACGAATTCTTCCATTTCCTGCAGACATAACAATGCTTTAAATAAAAGGAAGAGGAAACGTTGGAAGTGTGGAAGTGGTGCTGTGGCTCAGTGGTAGAGCACTCGCCTTGAGCTGAAGAGCTGAGAGACTGTACCCCAGCCCGGAGTTCAAACCCTACGACTGACATGAGAGACAGAGAGAGAGAAGGGGGGGAGGGAGAGAGGGAGAGGGAGAGAGAGAGAGAGAGGAGAGAGAGAGAGAGAGAGAGAGAGAGAGAGAGAGAGAGGGGAAATGCCAGTTAAATGATTACACTGGTCCTGTGATGACACATGAATACATCTGGTGTTTTTTAGAAAAGAAGCATGATTTTGAAAATTGTGGCTAAAATATATAGGAGTACTCAGAGCGCACACTAAGTCACTATCAAAATGAATACACACCTCAGATACAAATTTGGAATCTTTGTTTGACCATCTCATAGCTGCTGCTGCTGCTGCTGCTGCTGCTGCTGCTGCTGCTGCTGCTGCTGCTGCTGGTGTGTGTGTGTGTGTGTGTGTTAGAATTACAAACAGGCCTTGTGCATCTTAAGCCATTGTCACATTACCAATTGAGCTATATCCTTTATTTCCTCTCTTCTCTCTGTATCCATGTATCATCATAAATTTCTACCATGACTGATATTTACTTTAATCAAAGTTTATGTTGATGGAAGAGCTAAATTTGGAATGGAATTTCATTTTTTATAAAAAAATATTTTGAGAACTTATGTTTTTGTAAAGGGGTTCAGGAGGATAAATATAAAAGTGTAGGTAAGGAGCATTATCTAGTGAAGCTGTGCATATTCTATCTCTTTCTCTGTATTACTTAGACTTTGTTCTGGGAATCAAAAGCACTCCTGATGACATTATTTGCCTGTAGGATTCTAGAGAGTATATTCTTCAGCCTTAAAAGCAAACCAAGTCCTGGGCGTCAATGACTCACACCTGTAATCTTAGCTACTCAGGAAGTTGAGATCTGAGGAACACAGTTCAAAGCCAGCCAGGGTTGGAAAGTCTGTGAGACTCTTATCTCCAATTAACCACCAGAAAACCAGAAGTGGCTCAAAGTGGTAGAGCACTAGCCTTGAGCTGAAGAGATCAGGGATAGCACCCAGGCCCAGAGTTCAAGGCTTATAACCGACCAAAATAAATAAGTAAATACATACATACATACATACATACATAAACAAATAAAGCAACCCAAGTGTGCATTCCCTGTTAGTAATGAAATACAAGGTTGTTACCATGTTTACGTTTTCCAATCTTTATGCTTTGACAATGCTGTCCAACATACCTGGCATTCTAAATTATTCCATAGTCTGTGGCATGTGGTGTGTGATTACTTTTTTCACTCCAATAATCATGAAATGATAATCATAAAGAACTAATACAGTATGAGAATCATTTTCCTTTATGCTTATGGCTTTCAATCTATGTCTAATACTCTGTTGATACTGAAATTATTTTTACTACCCAATTTAGGGAAAACCTCTAAAATCCATTCAGCACATTGAAGTAAATAGATTTAAAGTTGAACTCAGCATGATCATCTAAAAGAGTTTTCCCATCAGTTGTTTCCATGGCAATAAAGGTCAGCATTATCTAAGATTGAAATGTGGGAACACTGCCTAAATCTAGTCTCCCTTCAACATCTACTTCCTCATATTCATCAAATCTTATGCACTGCTTACATTCTCATGAAGGCATCTTTCTCTGTCCAGCATTCTAAAGGAGCCAGTTCATAACTCCATCTGGCTTTTAGGAAGACTAGAGCATTGTCCTTGGTGATTTTCATGACTCTGTTTTTGCCAATCCTCCAATTTACTATCCACAGCATAGAAACAGATATTTTTTAAAAAAAACACCTCTTGGATCATTTCCTTCTATATCATATATTTGCAGATGAACTTCAAAGGACTGCTATGACTCAAGAAAGCCTCCTCTATTATGAGGATCAAAAATTTATAAGGACAAACCTAAGATATTTATAAATATGTCTTTGTGGATAAAACAATAAACTTTAAAAGAAAATCTGTGTGTGCATATGTTTGTTAATTAAAGTGTATAAAATCATTACTATCAGAAACCTACCTTAGGTAAAGGTTTGGCAGGTTTACAGTGCAATCCTCCAACAAACTCAAAATTAGGTAAGTATGGACGAGGAAATTCAAAATCCCAGTATGTCCGAATTAGCCAAATCTCAGCTTTGCCCATAGTCTCACACAATGTAGTGGGTCTTCCTGGAGGAAATAAGGAAAGTTTTGGAAGATTGAGATTAGCACACACTTTTGCTAAGGAAAAGACATACCACTAATTTCTTCTTCTTTTTTTTTTGTCGGTCGTGGGGCTTGAACTCTGGGCCTGGGCGCTGTCCCTCAGCTCTTCAGCTCAAGGCGAGCGCTCTACCACTTGAGCTACAGCGCCACTTCTGGTTTTCTAGTGGTTTATTGGAGATCGGAGTCTCACAGTCTCTCCTGCCCGGGCTGGCTTTGAGCCGCGATCCTCAGATCTCAGCCTCCTGAGTAGCTAGGATTACAGGCGTGAGCCACCAGCGCCCGGCAACCACCAATTTCTTTATAAGCTAGTAGGAGAAAAGTTAGTTTATATATAATACTTTCATTCATTATTACATGCTACCAGGAAAGAAAAAAAAAAGAAAAGGAGGGAGGTTAACACATAGATTAAATGCTATTGAAGAAATACTGAGCAAAAACAAATACTAAAGTCATTATTTAAGAGATTAAAAGGACATGGACAAATATGTGACTAGTATGATTTTTACAGGCTCAAACTTTCTCCAACAAGATATGTATGAATTACTAAATTATAATATGTAACATTGACAGGGTCCACTTGAATTAAGTGATCAAATTTAATGTCAAAATTAATACCAAAATTTTCCTAAGAAATGCAAATCAAAAAACATTAAGATTCTACTTCATCTCAGTTAGAATGGCCATTATCAAGAAAATAAATGATAATAACTGTTGGTGAGGGTGCAGCCAATAGAGAACCTTAATGCACTGTTGATGGGAATGTAAATTTGTTCAACCATTCTGGAAAACACTGTGGAAATTCCTCAAAAAAATAAACATAGAATCCCCCTGGGCATTTACCCAAGATTCTACTCCTGGGCCTTTACCCAAAAGATTACAAATTAGGATACAGTAAAGCCACTAGCCCAACCACATTTTGTGTAGCTCTATTCACCATAGCTAAGGTATGGAATAAACCCCAATGTCCTTCAATGGATGAATGGATCAAGAAAATATAGTATATATTCCAACAGGATGTTAATTATCCATTAGAATGAGATTGTGCCATTTGTAAAGATAAAGAAAGACTGGAAAAGTTATGTTAAGTGAAGGAAGTCAGGCTTAGAGAGACAAAAGTTGCATGTTTTCTCTTAGATGTGGAAACAAGATTTATGTTATAAACTTATAAGTAAATATGCTGGGTGATATGCAAGTATATACAAATGTATTAACTGAAACATGGTCAATTCAAGGGAAATCTGGAATAGTGTAATTCCTTAGAAAAGTAAAATCAAAGTTCAGCAAAATTAAACACCAGGAAGTACGTATTTGAAAGAGGTGGGGTGGGGTGGGGACAAGGGGAAGAGTAGACAAGAAGAGTAGAAGAGGGGAAGAATGCAGTCACGAATCTGATGTATATCTCCCAAAATTAAGAAGAGCAAGGGGAGGGGTAGATTGGGGAGCAATGGGTGAGAATGTTGAAAGGGTTGACCTTGATCAAGATATATTGTACTTATAACTGCTTTGCTAAATTAAAATTCCTTTGTACAACTACTTAAAGATAATACATTTTTTTCTAAGAATAGGACACTCTGAACAGGTCAAAAGATTACATCTGTAGCATTTGACAATAATGTATAACTTCATTATATCCATAAAAAATACCAGAACACAGCAATTAAGTGATGTTCAAAAATAATTCACTAATACTATTCACAAATGAGTTAAAAGAAAGACTGTGAGAAGTGTCAGAGAAAACAGTGGAAAACAGTAGAGATTGGACAAAAGAATGCAATTGGCAGAAAGTACTGAATAGAAAAAGATAGTATCACAACAGGCAAGAACGAAAGATTTCATAATTTTATGGTTTTATTTTAATGGCTATATACATTTTAACAGTAAAGAATAGTAAATCAACCTGGGCACTGGTCACTCACACCTGTAATTCTAGCTATTCAAGAGGCTGAGATCTGAGGATTGGGGTTTGAAGCTAGCCCAGGCAGGAAAACCTGTAAGACACTTATCTCCAATTAAATCACAGCAAAAGCTGGATGTAGAACTGTGGTTCAAGTGGTAGAGTGCTAACCTTGAAGCAAAAGGAGCTCAGAGACAGCTCAGGATCAGTGTCCAAGCTCAGAGTTCAAGCCTCAGGACCAGCAAAAAAAAAAAAAGAATCAACTTAAAATTTAACACTATTCCTATTTGTTTTACTAATTCAAATTTATGGTACACTGGTCTATTTAATGCTCTATTTATGTATGTATTTAAGTATTTCATGGGCTAATAATTTTATTTGATGTATTCTATTGCTGTTTGTTTTTGTTTTGTTCTTTTACCCAACTTTTTTTAGAGGTTTTAAATTTATCATATTGGAACTTCTATTCATTCAATACAGTCTTGATGTTTTGGGGTACTTTTTATTTACTGGAACCACAATCTATTTTATTTATTTTTATTTTATTGTCAAGGTGATGGACAATGGGGTTACAGTTACATAAGTAAGGTAGTGATGACAGTTCTTGTCTAACTCCCTCATTTTCTCCCTCTTTCCCTCCCCCACTCCAACCACTCCTTAAGTTGTACAGATCACTTCCAACATATTGTCTTGTAAGAACTGCTGTTGCATAGGTTCCCCTTTGTCCTTTGTCTGACCATTTTGTTGTTCCCCTTCTGTTCCCTGTTCAGATAATGCATATACAATACTCAAGGTACCAAAACTGAATGCAGTAACAACAGGGGATAAACCATAGGGGAAAAAAGCACAAGCGATAAAAGAAATAACACAGTACACTGAGAACAACAACAAAGAAAAACCTTTTGTGTCCAGGTCTTGGAGTTCATTTCACTTAGCATCATTTTATATGGTCATATGTACACAGCTATTGAGCTCTTCTGCTTATTTGCTATGATTATCCTAGAAGTATACGATTATTACAAATAAGAGAGACCTATGTTTCTTTGGGTCTGGCTTACTTCACTTATGATTTTTTCCAAGTTCTTGCATTTCCTTACAAATGTGGCAGTGTCATTCTTTCTGATAGCAGCACAGAATTCCATTGTATATATAAAGCACATTTCCTTGATCCATTCATCTACTGAGGGGCATCTCTGTTGGTTCCGTATCTTACCTATGCTAAATTGTGCTGTAATAAACATAGTTGTGTTGATAACTTTAGTGAGAGCTTGTTTGTGGTCATTTGGATAATGCCCCAAAGTGGAATTGCTGGGTCATAGGGGAGCTCTATGTCTTTTGAGGAACCTCCATACTACTTTCCAAAGTGGTTGAACAAGTTTACACTCCCACCAACAGTGCAGTAGGCTTTCTTTTGGCCACATCCCCTCCAGCATCTGTTGTTATGAGATTTCTTGATTATAACCATTCTAACTGGGGTGAGGTGGAATCTTAATATTATTTTGATTTGCATTTCTTTTATGGCTAGAGAAATTGAGCATTACTTCACATGTCCATTGTCCATTCTTATTTCCTCTTCAGAAAAGTCTCTCTTTAAGTCTTCAGCCTACTTATTAATGGGGTAGTTGTTTCATTGAGGATTTGTTTTTGGAGAATTTTTTGAGTTCTAAGTACATTTTAGATATGAGGCCCTTGTCTATTGTACGACTAGTGAAGATCTTCTCCCAGTCTGTGGGCTTTTTACTAATTTTGCTAATGCTCAGGCCCAGAGTTCAAAAAACAAGCAAAAAACAAACAAAAAACTGGCTGGGAGAGTTATAGATCCATAGCTACTTGCATGTGATCATATAAGATGATGCTAAATACAATGTACTCCAAGATCTGGACACAAGTTTTTCTTTGTTGTTGTTGTTCTCAAAGTACTACATGATTTCTTTCTTCTTTTTTGTCCCCCCCCCCCCCCATGGTTTATCCTCTGTTGTCACTGTATTTGATTTTGCTACCATGGGTAATATATATATATATATAACTAAGGAAGGGAATGGAAACAACAAAGCCAGTGAGACAAAGGACAAAGTGGGAACCTATGCAACAACAATACAAACAAGAAATGATCTGCACAACTTTGTGGATGGGACTTGGGGGAGGGAGGGAGAAAAATAGGGGAGGGGTAATAAGTTAGACAAGAAATGTAATCACTATCTTACTTACATAACTGTAACCCCTCTGTACATCACCTTGACAATAAAATTAAAATTAAAAAAGATACCTAAAAAAGAATATTCAGAGAACCTTTTCCCAAAACATTTAGAAAATGTATTCAGCAAGTTATTATTTGCCAAGTTATTATCACTATCATTTTAAGTAGATAATAATTTGTGTTCAATCTCCATCTTCCATAGGTACATATATTTCTATTTTCAGCTTAAAGAAAGTGCAGAGAAGATCTTCTGTGTTTCCTTCCCCTATCATTATAGAGTTTTATCTCTTGAGGGAGTTTAAAATATGGGATCAGGGTGTAACGTAACACAAAGAAGCCAGAGAATTGATACAGAATCATATAAAGGTACATTTTGCCAAATATAACTTTTCACCATTGTTGTGAAGTAATGTTTTGCTACATTTGAGGCAAATTTTTGGTATAATAACAAATGGTTCAAACCAGTGGGTCCCAACAGGGACTTCCCAATTCTAAATGTTAGCTGGGTGTCTCCTGTAATCTCATTATAGTTGCAACTACAGACCTGTAGCTTATGTCAAATTTCTTTCTTCACTCTGAGGATGGACACCTTATCAGACAATCAATTTCCTGGTTTCACATTTCTCAGAACATCCCTCCCGTGTCTAATATCTAGTAATTAGACGCATAAAATGAATATATTCCAAAATTGGAGAGCTCTGTATACTTGTTGGGTGGGTGAAGCTGCCCATGCTAAATCTCTTATTAGGCTTGATCATTTGCTCTTGAATTTGCTTTGGTTTTGCTTCAAATAAATCTTGTACTACCCAAACTCTTCTTATGGTTATTGCTGAACTCTGTCTTTGGCAAGGCCAGGAGCCTGATATTTATGTC